TGTTATCAAAAATATTTTTCAACAAAACTGAAAAACATTTTTATACAAACCGACGAGAAATACGAAGTGTAGAACAGTGATTTTAATGCAGCACTTTGCATCGAAAAATTATATACTTGTCCTACATGATTCTATCCGTCTACCAATGTCACAAATTATAACTCATTTTATAGAACAGCGTTTAGACGTTCATATTGTTTAGCAGGGGACCAACTTTAGTGATCCCGTAATATAAATTATTAAAAATCAAAATATTTCATCTGGTATTCTGTTAGTCATCAAATGTAGATTTCATAATCATATATAAATACCGTCATTCGAGATTATTCTTTCTTATACTGTTGTAAAGAAAGGCAATCTTCCGTTGATAAAATAATATACAATACTGAATTTTTTGTTTAACAAGGGGCAAATTTCTTCCTAAATTCTGATTACTATAGCATCAGATTTGGAAGAAAAGATTAATCGCGATTTAATTCAGCTGATTGTTGCAATCGATGTATTACAATCTTGTCAAACTACATAAAATAATCTAATTATTTCATTTCTCGCCTTCCACTCGTACTTTCCTCGTAAAAATCTAATAATGGCAACTTTATTCCTTACCACTTTCACGATAACTACGATGTACCTATTTTTTTGGCGAATTCAATAAATCTATCCGTTCCTTTTCTTCCTCCGTGAGATATATTTTGGTAATCACTATATCACCTGTACTAAACGTTTGGCAAGCCACGCTACTTTCGGTACTTGTTCGCGGACTCTTACTCTTGTCTCGGCACGAGCAAACACATTTCGTCGGCGACGCGTCTGCACTGCTTGAAGAAAACTGATCAGTTGCAGCACCGGTAACAGCTGAAAGAATAGCTTCCAATTTCTCAATCTTCTCGAATCGGTCCATCCGCCCGTCGGAAAGAATTTCGTCCACCATTTGCATCGATTCCGTAAGACTCGGAGTATCCGAGTTTCTCGGCGACAATATACCACCTGTGGCAAAGAAATATTTCGATACACGGAACGGTGTATTAAACACGATGGACAGTAACGAAAGAGAGTTATACCAGAATGAGAATTCTCGGAAGTATAACTTTCCATGCTGTGGTACTCGGTGTCCTCAACTTTGTCTTCATCGTCCTCGTCGCTACTGTCCCCTTTGTCTTGGCCCATGTTTTCAAGCTTCTCTAATTTCCTCGCGACCTTGTAACTGCCTTTCAACTTTTCCTTCTCTTCTTCGGTAAGATCGAGATAACGCAAGAGACGTATCTCACGATTGCTTAAAACAATATTTTTGCTGGTTGCTTCTTCCATTCTCTTCTTCAAATCTGCAACTTCCGTCTCCACTTTCCGCTGCTTTTTACGCGCCTTCACTTCTGCGGGTTTAAGATGCATTTGTATTTGCTCCTCGCACAGCTCGTTAAAAAGAGCTTGTACCTCTGGTTTTATGAGTCTGGCAACGAATAATAAAGATGAATGAAACAAGAATGTGTGAAAGATCAATCGACAGAGAACGTATGATTAAATATTTACCGAGACATGGAAAGATATATTTGTGGAACTAAGCTCAGAACGTCGCTGCTGGCATAAATGAGCATGTCTCGCGTCAGCGGGCGCCTACACCAGTACTTTTGATTGTTACGATAGATATTTTTTAACTGTTCCTTTAATGGATTACACGGAACACCATAATGATCACACAGCGTATTCAAATTAACATTTTTAACTTTATATACAGGTTTACCAGTTTCTTGAAACTGAAGTACAGCATGGGCTGACTGCAAAACAATATGATTCATTCTTTAAGTAACGTACTCTTCTGTCATCTTTGTAACTATACAACGATCAATTACCTGTGTATCAAAGACGTTGTTCAACATAATCTTAAATTGTTTATACAAATTGACACTGTCATTTCTACAATCATGGATCACCTAAAACCAGATACATAGTAAAAATATGTAATTTATTGCAAGTAATGAAATACGTTTCCAGTTTCTTACTTTGATAACGTCCTTATGCTCTAAAAGTTTCTGAATACCACCGGCTTGTACAAGATTGGGACAAGTAAACAAGTCGAAAATGTACGCTTGCCCAGACATGGTTCCAACTTGTACAAGCGTTAATTGTCCCTTAACTCCTAAATTGATACCTTCGCAATCGAACGATATAACGACTTTACCATCGGGAGGAGGCTTACGGGGATTTATTATATCTTCTATAATTTGAAGACTCTCCCTTGTATTCACTATTACTCTAGTCTGTTGTAATACTTTTAACTTCCAAGCATCTCCCATTTGCATGGTCTGCAAGCTTCTATCCTTTTCTGTATTGTCTGCCAGAGTCTTCATCACAAGTGTGTTTATTCTTTGCTTCAACGTTTGCTGTTGCAAACTAACCGGAGGCGAACTACTATTACTTTCGCTCGATGGAGAATGAGAATTTTGGAAGGAATTAGCCTGGCTGGTGACGGTGATATTCGCAGGTTCCGGGACAGGTGCTTGTTGAGGTGCTTGAGTATTGCTTGGCTGAACAACTTGGTTTAAATTTGCTTGATTCGTGGTGATATTTTGATTTCGCACAGAATTTCCAGTTTTTGTTTTCGCTTTTCCTTCTACGTTCGATAATTTCGGTTTCCCAATTAACGTTACTAAATTACTTTGAACGTGAAACGTGTCTGCGAACATCTGGACGAACGTGCACAAGTCCTGGGGCGTTTTAAATATAGAGGTCCAATTCTCGTCGGAGAATTTGTCGTTAACTATATTTAACATTTGATCTACAAGAATTGGACCCTTCTGCTCGATGCTCTCGCAAAGGAAATCTAATAATTTCGCAGTGATCTCTGGATCTACCGGTATGTCTGGTTCTAATTCTACAAAAGGTTCTGCTTTCATACCTTCGTATTGCTTCAACATTACATTATCCTCGGTAACTACAAAAGCGTCAGAGTATTTCATAAGAAAGTCTCTGAACTCCTTGTAATGTTGACCAGAAATGTGTCTGACCTCCGGTGAGGCTTGAGACCGATGTCCCAGTAAACTTTTAATAGGCACCTCCGTACCAACTCCGTACTGCATCAATTTATTTGTAAAATATTCTACAGCCTCTCGAGCATAATCACGTTTACCACCTAGTTTGCATCCATTTTCTTCCTCCACGACTTGTTGATAAGTGTTCACCGATACGTAATCACCGTTAATAAGAAACAGCATTGGGTATTGAGCTAAAAACTTCTTAAGGCCACTTTGGGATCCACCAGCTATTTGACGCATCTCTTTCGTAAACCCTTTAGCTCCGAATTGGCAGCTTAAATCGTGCAGCGTGCGCGGACCACCTTTATCCACTAAGAGTTCGAAAAAGAATAACAACGTCATATTCCGTACAGTCTCGTACTCTGAACTATCCATCTTCTCACTTCGTTTGCTTTGCTTCAGAATATGTACTTCTTATTACTTATGATACCTCAACAATTATGTCATGATATACTTTCGTACAAAAAAGGCACTTGTTCTAGCGGTGATTAAATGCCAATGATCGAAGAACCACACAGCCACCATAGGAGGAAAGCTAGACCTAAAAATTGAATATCCAAAGTTATCAGACTTATTCTTATATTAAATCATTCACCTACAGTGTATTTCTTGTTAACAGACCTTATATTATAAATAATTAGATTTCCTGTAGATACAATTCCTTCTTTGCCAATATGATATACATTGTATAAAGTAGGAACATTATAAGATCTTCCTCCTCTTTTATAAAGAAGTCAATAGTGATTCTCTTAAGTGTGTAACGTCAGTGGATTGAAATACAATGATTCTAATAACCTGGTAAATGCAAAGTTATTTATTTATTCAATGTCAGGTACAAATAACGATGAACAAGATTTAACACTTTCAACAAAAAAACATCCTTTATATTTAGTTAGTCTAAAAAGGAGAATCGAGTACAGCATACATTGCTGTACATAAGCGGAGAAAAACTGCACTTCAATGGAGCACATAAATATTTATGAAATTCATTTTTTTTACATTGTAAATCCAAGGATTTAATCGTGTATGTCTTTCACAGAGTATCGTACAGTACGTATCGCGTATACGTGAGACATATGTATGTACGTCTCCTTATTCCAGACACTCTGCTACAAAATACTGTTGTGTAATTTGGCATTGAACAATATACATATGGTAATTACCTATGACAAATGAGATTTGGTGTTCGCCTCGGTGCTTAATCGAATAAAGAGATTTTTAGGATACCGATGATAACCGAATTTGAAGATATCACAGGTCAAACAACTCTGACATACATAGATTTAAAATACCACGCCACTACACTAATGATCCCGATATGTCTGTTCATTAAACATCCTCGAATCCCCGTTCCTTCCTCCCGATTAATAATGATTAATTACAGTTTATTAGAAAGTTGCTTTATATTGTATCCTGCCTAATTAATAATGTAGTAAAATTTCAGTCATTTGCCAATGTGGTGCACCGTGCAATGTATGCATGTATACAATACGTATCGTTTTACACGTACAACAAACGCAGGTGCACACATTTCCAATTAATCCTCACCTGGTAAAACAGACTTAAGGGGGAGTATCTAATTTATATACTAAAGGTTTATCATTTTATGTTGGCTGCACTTGTATTTCGAATCGTTTGTTTGGAACAGCGTTTGCTGCACGATGCATGGTCAGTTTCTGTCAGCTTCTCACTTTCCAGCTTTCCAGTGGGATAGAAGTACGTGCGTTACCCAAAAACTCGTCATTAAAAAGTGACAGATAAAAAAGTCAATAGCCGAGAAATGAGCGATTGAACGCTTGCTGAAAGATTCAGATAGTTGTCGAATAATATTTATACATAACATTGTTAATTGAAGTGCACGTGTAAAAAGTTAACAAACGTAAATAGTGAACGAATGTGTACAAATTACGATTATTAATTTCAATTTGAAGTATGTATCAAGTTCGCAGCGGTGAAGATGCATTCGAGCCAAGAATTTTACCAAAACCTTCATCCAGAATCGATGTAAGCTTTGTATATAATAATAAATATGTGTTACATATTCAGCATTTAAACTTTTCATTTTAGGATTTTATAGTACCATCAGTTCCTGATGTTTCTTTAATATTTGATAAACCCTTACATTCTAAGACTCCACAACATGTAGGTATCAATTCACCTCTTGTGGAGTCTAGAAGTTCAACGCATAAAAGTAATAGTCCTTTAAACGTTAATGGATCGTATGCAGCATGGAGGGAACAAAATTACGCAAGAAAACCTTCATCTCCTACAGTTAATAATTCTACAAGTCCTCAAGTACAATTTAATCAAGATTATGTTTCACTGAATCACTCAAGAGAAGACAATACTATGCATACCTCGAAACAATCCAAAGGAAAAAATTGTACTATGAGAAGAGATAGTTATAATGATTCACAACGTGAGCAAGAAGTAAGTAGGAGAAATGCTGATCTATCTAACAAATATAATCCAGAAGATAATACAACACGGATAGAAAGTAATCAAAGTGCAAGAGCTCAGTGCAGCGATAAAATGAGACGTGATTTTTATCTACCTACCATGTCACATGTTCCTAAACAATGTATGAACACTGGCAACTATATTGTTAATGAAAATGAATACTCTCCTTTGTTATATGAAAGAACATTAGCTACTCAAGATTCTAATCAACAGAAAGTATCGTACAATAATTCGATCAATGATCCAAGCATACAAACTCTACCTATGAATCCGAACAGTTTTCAAAGAAATGAAATTCAATTACCGCACTATCTGGGACAGCAGTATCCCTCTTTTAATATGAACCGCTATCCATTCCCTCAACTTCATCCTTATGCTGTGTCTAATACAGATAATCAAGAAACAGTAAAGAACTTATTACAGATTATAAACAGCCAGAACGAGCAAATTAAATCTTTACAGACACAGGTTGATAGATTGTTGAAAATGCAGGAGGAAAATATGAGAGAAAGGAAAAGTTGTTCTTGTTCCTCTCAATCGCGGTACAGTACTCAGTTACATACGAACGTAAAACCTAGTGACATTGTAGATGTTCCTAATTGCGTTAATTTATCGGAAACTGTAAAAAACGATGCGTATCAAAGAGAATTACCCATCGACAGAAGAAAAGAAAATTTTATTGAAAATGAAAGTACAAACCAAAATGAACTGATATTAACGGACGTGCAATCGAAAAAAGCATTTGTAGAGCAAAAGGTTTCTATCGGGGTAATGACAAGCTTTGAATTTACTGTGCAAAACAATCCTTATGCGATAGATGTTGAAGATTATAAAGAAAACGATGATAAACAAGATACTGCGAAAGCGTGTCACAATATTCGCGATACGAACGAGTCTTTAAGAAGGTATAAAAATTCGTTTACTCGTATGTCCAGCGCTCAATTGGAAAATATAGTCGAAGATTCGGAGAGTTACATGTCGTCTAGTCAACAGCAAAGTAGCAATCTGAATGCCAGTACATCGGTGAAAGATTTGGAAAGACCGGCTTACGTCGATAACAGAAGGGATTTGGATAATCGTAAATCGGAATCTCCCAAATTAGGTAAAGGGGCAACGAAATTAAATGAAACTGAAAGTAACATGAGGAAGCATCTAGGGAAAGAAGAGGAGATCGAGAGGAGAAGAAGTGTTGAAACTACAAAGACACCAATGATGCAAAGAAATTCTGAATATGTTTCTGAAAATAGAAATTTTAAACCGAACACGTGTAATGGAAATGAATATAGGAAAATAAATGTACAACGCGATAATGATTCTGTAAAGTCAAGTAACTCTTTAAATAATTCTGGTTGTTATAAAGATCATCGAAAAGAGGGACAGATCTCGGGTTCTAAACGGTCTAATTGTATCGAAGATAGTTTGATTTTGAATGGTGCTGATTTGAGGATAACTGAAAGGCCTCCTCTTACCCCGGAACCTAGTATTCACGTCGAAATGAACGAATATTCTAGTGACGAAGATAGCGAGAAGGTAAAACGTAGCTCGAAAGTCGGCTGGACGTTCTACAATAACGTTCTTGGACAAGTGAATCAGCTATTACAAAACTCGACCGTTGCGGAGGACCAACAACAAAATCCAATGAAAGTAAATCATAATGAACGAAACGAGACTGAAAATAAAGCAGCGTTAGATACTGTAAAAGTTGCTACATTAGAACAACTTAAAAAGCTCGGAATCAGTCTAAGTGAGAATCCAGAAACAAATGAATTAAATAGCAGTAATAAGTATGATTTACATTTAATTGATATTTCAAAACTGTTTTCATTACAATGTACGATATGAACAATTTATTTGTAGGATGGCATTCGACTTATCATTCTACCCGCGTTTGGATTATCAAACAAACATGACACAAGCCACGAGTGCTGTAAACGAAACAAACACGAGTATGCATATGAAAGCATTAGCTTTGAAGTATTTAACTGATGAGCAGCTTGCTGAATTAGCAATACAAAGGCAAGGATCCGCGTCAGTAAAACATGTCATGGTCAGCAATATGCAGGGTACAAATATGTCATTAGCGACGATGCGTTACTTAGAGAGATATCAACTGCTCCCAGGGAAGAACAATGCTCATATGGAAGGTAAAAAGATAAATAAGTTTAATCAACAGCTGAGCATAAGTTTAATTATCTTTATGGAATGAATAATAAAATGTTTTTGTCCTAGATGTTAGCAAGGTACAAAACGAAGTGCCTCCAAGGGTCGACTTGAAACCTGCTAATTCAAGAAACAGCCCGAGAACACTACGCTTTCCGTTTAATCAAACGCCTAGGACGACCTGTCCAAGTAAGATCTTAGACATTTCAACTTTAAAGCAACAGCCTAAGCTTTTATAAATGACACCAATATAAAATTCCGATTTCCGATAAAAGATTACGATTCTAATGTCTCTTAAACATTTTATTTTTTTGATTACTATTAAAAATTTCTCGTTCAACTTGACTGATTGTAAATATTCTAGGCAAACTTAGGAACTTAATTATAAGCAATCAAATAAAGTATTTAGGAGCATATTTTGTAATACATTTCATACATTATTTATTTTACATTTATCAAGTATAAGTCGAGTTTAATGAAACACTATAGGAATTGCCTGCCAATGTAAAAGTGTTATATATAATATTTATACAAATGATTGAATAAAAATTGTACTAACAAAATAAACTTTATTTAAACGGCTCTATAAAAATAAAATACCATAACTAAACGACTGATATTAATACCTGCGCACAGTGTCATAATATACATTAGAAATATGAATGGTAGCGTTGATAATATATTATGTGTTTTATGAAGTATTCCCATACCTAAAATAAATAAAGGGAATTTAGCGATTTTTATGATTCGAATAATAATTCGAACATTTATATACTAACTCGTATAGCCCAGAAACGTTATATAAATGTAATAAACTGCTGCTATTAACCAGATTGAATTTCCAACGAATCGCGATGAAAATGTATCGTGCTTTATAAGACCTAAAATAATTAAGTACGTCACAGGAAGTGCTTTATATACATTACCAGGATAAGATAATACTAAAGACTGAGGTAAAGGAATTACCATTGTATAAAAACAGTTGTACGATATGGAGTATCACTAAAGGTGGAAAGGATGCATTTAATTGTATATCAAATGCGTAGCCCCATTCTACATCCTGTGTTTTATCAATTCTCAAATAACGATTTGCTATAAACCTGCAATGAAAGATCTTTATAAATATAACAGAATTTGAAATTTATACAAATTGCAATCGATGCTAAAATAATTTACCAGAATATCGTAGCTTCTATTAAACCAATAGCGAGATAATCGATGAATATCATGTAAAATAGTAGTTTTATAAATTGGAAAAATGTTAATCCCAAAACTATTGCAAAACCAATGGAAGATATACACAAACAACATAATAATAGTACCAAGAATGCAGGATCATCCCTTGCAAATTGTGACTTCGTTTCTAGAAAATAAATGAACCTCTTATAATGTCCATATATTATTCAGATAATTTATTAGAAGCAAAGTAACTCACGTTTTCTACTTTGAAAATTCCTATACACTTTTTGCGGTGATATGAATAAAAAAATCATTTGCCATAGGGCAAACTCGAAATCCATTTGTTCGAATTTTAATAATTTTCTTAAGTATTTGTAACATTTTGTTGCTGCTCCCATACAGTCTTGTCTAAAAGAAAATTGATTTTGTATAGATCAAAGACGTATCAGAATTTGTAATATGATTTTTTATACCTGTAAGTAACTGGTGTTGGCAAATTCGAGCCTGAATCAATTGGACCAGGCGAATTACACCTACTTATCGGTGGCGACGTAGAATACTTCATTTTACAACGTATTTAACAATTAAACAAATCATAAGAAATGAGTTTAACACAGACATCAATGTCGTTCGTATCTTTTTATCACGAAACAGTATTCTAAGTGTTTCTACAATGTAACAATCATACGATGACACGGTTATCAGTGTTAATATTTATTTATTATTTTCCTCCTTCAATTACAATAGATATTGCTCGATAGTATCTCGAATAGACACATCATCTCGGATTGAAGGTTATGATTATGTTCATTACATTACGAAAAGTACATGTTCCAATAATTGCTTTTAAGTATTTATTATAATAAACGAACTTCGGAAAATGAAACAATTCTTTCGTGCAATAATGTTATCTAGAAAAATTATTATAATCACTTCATACTTTCGAAATCGGAATTACTTCAGCCACGACAACTCATTGGTCAGATTTCATTCAGTACCATTCAATTTATGCATTCTTTTTATTTTCTTCCGCGCAGTACTGTAGTTACGGTGAACAATCTACGTTTCCAAATCCCCGACGAAAATTTGCGTACGCTTATCTGTAAAGTTCGTTCAGTAACTGTCTCGTATTGTAATTTGTCTGCAAGTTAAATGTTATCTTGTAATGAAAAGCACGTACAGTTTTTATAGATGTAATTGTAATCATATAATTTTCGGAGGGCGATTAGAAACGTCGCAGTTTCACGAACAAATACGATACTTAACTGACGGTTGAAACTCGAGAGCGGGGCAAATCTGGCATTGAGTTCGTGATGAAATATTTATTAAAAATTATAGTTCTGAAAATGAGAAGTACGTTTACGTGTACGTGAGTATAATGAAGAGTAACGAGAATATTATTCTCTAAATTTATCATTTATCACTAGACGGCGGATTTTATGAGATTATATGAAAGTTCCATTATCTGTAGAAATGATAAACGCCGCGTGTAATGGACATTTCAATGTTTAAACGATCAAACAAAGATTTATCATATATAAAGTAAATATTTCATTTTGCATTACAACTCCGCAGTCGATTTATTACTGTTTTAATTCGCGATTTCGGTATAAAATGAAATTTATATTTATCTTTAAAAATAACTTTAATACTTCAATTACATAATTCAACGAAAGAGAATTTTTTCATTTAAAAAATTATTATAACAAAAAGTAGTTTGCATGGATTGATTATGAAAAGTCTCCTCTACGTGTTGATTGAAAACTGAAATTCCTCGGACATTTAGTTTTCACGTAATACCTAATTTTCCGGAAACGGTACATGATAGCATAAGGAAAATTTTTAATGTTCTGACCTTGACTATCAAGGTCAAGATCAATTTCTTTTGAAGTGATATCCACCGAACCGGTGATGTAGAATCCCACATAGTGGATGTGAAATGAAATTTTTATACACCCCTGAACAGTGTTATTCGAATAAAGAAGCAGAAATATTAATTGTGTGCCAATTGAATAATAGGAAATCCCAGAGTTCAGACGATAAATGCAGGTACGTCGATATTTAAAGTTTGATACATTTAGTTTTATTTATTGTGTATTTATATTATGTACAAAGTAGTCTCTAACCACATAATGGACGCAACAAATGAATCTGTTATGTATGTACAAATATATAATTACAGATACATCGAAAATGTTTCACACATCAAACATAAAATTTATGCGTGTAATTGAATTTCG